GCGGCAGAGGCGAACGAAAACCGATTGTGTAAAGACACCACGCGGCGAAGCGTCCGCTGGCTGCCAAACACTTCCCGTCTTCCTGTCCTCTCTTCTGCTCTCTCTCTCTCTCTCTCTCTCTCTCTCTCTCTTAAAGGACACTCCTTTTATGTTCCATATCCTCTGATTCTTCCACCGCAGAAGCGGCAGAAGACGCAATTTTGCTTGGAAGCCGAAGGGGGATGTTAGCGGGAGCAGAAGAGCTCAAAAAGGGCGAGGCTTTCCCAATGTTCGCGCTTCGCTGACCTCTTCAGGCTCCTCCGAGCGTTCGTGCGTTCAACACCTCCGCTTCGGTTCCTTCTTTGTGTTCCCCCTGCGTTGGCTCGGGTTGAATGAACCAGATCTCAAGGTAGATAACACTTTAATTCCGTAAAAAGAGTCAACTTTCCATATCGGAATGGTGGGATGAGCATTGAAAGCGAGCGCCGAGGTCACTTGGGATTTGCCCACTCCCACTCCCACCCGCATCCCTACCCCTCTCCGTCGCCTCTCTTCCGCCCTCATCTCAGAGCAGAGCCCTTGTTCTGACCTCGCCCTTCTTCTTCGCCTCGGTTTCTGCTTATTCTCTTCTTCTTGTTTACCTGGAAAAAAGAGATTGGAAGGCAAAGGGAGAGCAGCGGTTGCACAGAAGCGACATCGAAGGGAGTAAAAAGGAACATACAGCGATGGCCAACAACTGTCGGCGAGGCCGCTCCAACCTGCAGAGTTTCCTCGACTCCACCACTCCTTCCGTGCCGTGCCACAAGCTTCCCAAGGTCTCTCTTTTTCTTCCTCCTCTCTTTCTTTGACCAGTATTCTTCATACTTTCGCATCGTCTGCTCCTTTCTTTTATTTCGGCGTCTTCACTTCCTTTACTGCTTCCTCTAGTAACTGTTCATATCTATCGAACTTAAGATATCAAAGTACATACGGACGGTGGTGAATGAACTTTGTTGTACAGTGATAGCAGTTTAGTTTGAAGGTTAGCTCAACACCTTCTCTGGGCATTTGAATGTGTGAAATCATTAGTACATTTGCAATCAATTTCCAGTCCGGCTATAGAGTAGAGAATTTATGTACCATCAAGAACATTTTTCTGTTTGAAAGTAATTGATGATGACTGCAGAGAGATTCATGCTCCAATTTACCTTTAATTTTTCTTGCTAGCAAAGTAATTAAATGTATAATTAACTTGAAGACATTTTTCTTGTGAAATCATAAGTTCCGTAGCATTTATGTACACATTCAGAGAGGTTCTTATGTTATCAGTCTCAAAGTAAGAAAACTATCATCTGTTCTTATGATCCGAAATATCTTTCTCTGTTGCAAAAAATAAGAAAATATATGGTTCTTGCCTGATAATTACAGTCATGTTGTCGAGCTGTGCAAGAGCAACTGACCGGAAAGGACAGCGTCGAAGAGTTCTTCGTCCTCGGAGACTTGTGGGAGCAGTACTATGAATGGAGCGCCTACGGTGCCAGCGTTCCGGTGTGCCTACACGATGAGACAACGATAATCCAGTATTATGTGCCATACCTATCTGGAGTTCAGATATACACTCACAAAGCTACTGCTGCTTCCAGGTTTCTGATTCATTCTCATCTACTGTAACAGCTATACATTTAGATAATCACATCACAACTTTGAGACCTGCAAATAGAGTTAGATTACATTACATTCTCTATTGCGTTAATAATAATGTCAGGGAGACCAGTGGGAACAAATCTTGTAGTGACGGTGAGTACAAGACGCTGGCTGGTTTGGATGCTGCATCTCAGGGCTTCGACTTAGATCATGGGAATGAGTGGCGAACTAGCGAGCACGCGAGGCACTTATACTTTGAGTTCTTTGAGAGTTGTTCTCCTTACGGAAGGATACCCCTTCTTGACAAGGTAGGTTGTGTGCTTGAGCTGTTTCTCCATCAAAATATCTGTGATTTCATGCTTCCTTATTTTCGTTTCGTAGGTACTTGAATTAGCTCAGACTTACCCTGGCCTGACTTCTTTTAAGAGTACAGAGCTGTCACCTGCGAGTTGGATGTCGGTAGCCTGGTATGCCTGACCTCCGTTTTCTTTCTTATCTCCTCCTGTTAGAAAAATGCAAGGTTACTCATAATCTTGTAATATTTTAGCAACAGTTACTAAATCCATAACCAAGATTTGAAAATTGTGATGGCTTCTTCATAAAGGTCGATAACAAAACATGTCTTGGATTTCTAGTCTTTGATTTGGAGATACTTGTCTTTTTTTCTTTTTTTTTCCAACAGCCAAAGCAGAGGACATTCTTATTGTTTTGTATTTTACTACTATATTTTTCTCAAACCACTAGAGTTAACAATGAAGATTTTTTGTATATAAAATTCAACTTTCCTCTTGTCAAACAGGTATCCTATTTATCATATCCCAACCACACCAAGTGTGAAGGAGCTGTCCGTATGCTTCTTAACCTATCACTCATTGTCTTCGTTGTTTCAAGGTATGTGTTTATGATAGTTTTAGCTCTCTATCCGATGTCCCCAGTCACAGTCTTTCATGTCAAATAAAAAATAATTCCAGTGTTTTTAAACCTAGCTACATTTGAAACTTAAAATTTTCAAGTGAATTGATGGTGACCCAAATTTAACTAGACTATTGGACTTTTGGGGAACCAATTAACTAAAATATGAACAAGAAGGTAAGAGTCTGATTGCTTTTTAAGCTGGTTTAAACTTAGAAATGCGGAGGTTGGTTTTGGTTAACTTTCTATCTTGGTCATTCCTGATCACAGCGATAGAGGATCAAAGCAAGCCTATATTGTCATATTCTGTTAATATGTCATAAATACATGAGGTATAATCCCCTTCCACCTAAAAAAAGAAAATACAAGAATGCCTACCTACAAAGTTTGATATATTCATATGATGCATGCTATAAGCATTGGTTCTTGTGATGTCGATACACATGACATGTGCCTTGGCTGCAGGAATCTTGCATAAGTAGTGGCACCCTTTTGGAATCTCCACTAGAGCTTTGATACCTTAAATTTGGAATCATGATTTCATCACCTATCTTCTTGAGCGGTATTTTGTATATTAATAAACGTGACACATGTTACAAAATTAGACATCGAAACTTCTCTACTTTGTCATACAAGTTGTTGAATGCAAATAAAATGAAGGGTTAAATAAAAAAAAGGATTATCTATTACTTCCCCTTTTTGAATCTTCCTTTCCGAACACGATGCAAATATCTCATGTTTGATGAAACATACACTCTATGGACGACACATGACAACATATTTATACACTTCATGCATGCTTCAAACCCTAACATTTTGGATCTTGATGCTTCTCAGGATGCAAACATGCAGTGAGATTTCTAATTTCAGTTTTCTTTGATTATTTTTTTTCTTTTTTGAGAGAATTTTTGAAGGTTTCTTAAGTAAACTTTATAGTAGTTCTGAGCCATCTGTGTCTATTCTAGAAAAAACAAGTAATTAGCAATGGTTTATTTAGATGAGTTGTTGTTGCAAATAAACTGGTCCAATCTATGTACCAGTGTGAGTTGCCAATTCTTATAGGCACACCCTTATCTGTCAAATCCACAGAATAGATACTTTGGAGCCTAGTATTGAAGTAAACTCTAATCTATCTCGAGGTGGACATCGAAAAGGATTATATGATGGTTTACTTCTTCAAAGAAAACTTTTATCATGAATTAGTTAGCTTATGACACAATTGACATGAAATATACTCTTCGAAGTTTTCTTTTATTTCATGTCATAATTGACATGAATATTAAGCTGTTACAATCTATATTTTTTTGACAGTCATCTGTTTCCACAATGCCCTTACAGATCATATAAAGGGGAGCATGGCAAATGATCTGGGCTTTACCAGAGCCGGAAAGAATGGAACAAAATCTGAGAAAAAGAACCACATATCCCTTCCTCCATTTGGTCTAGCGACCTACAAACTTCAAGGGAGTCTTTGGACATCATTTGAATCAGGAGACCACGAAAGAATCAACTCCCTCTTTAGCGCTGCCAACTCATGGCTCAAGCAGCTTAAAGCCCAACACCATGATTTCAACTTTTTTACCACTCACTGCATGAGCATGAGGTGCCTCCCCTGTTGGTAGAACACATTTTTACAGCTTGCTGCAGCAGCTCATGATGGCTCAGAGCTCAGTATCTTAATATGTTGAGGATAATAGAGAGGAGGAATGGAATGGAGGCAAACATAAACTGTTTGACTGTGGTTCCAAAATTTAATCTTTTTGTAAATAGAACTAGCGCTTTTACTTTTATATAAAGTGCATTTTGTGGACTTAAAAAACCATGGCAGAACTTTTTCTGCATTAAGCATGCAGAAGCTTGTTGAATGTGGAACCTTATGTAGAGGCAGAGATGCTATATAGCCTGCTTTCAACTATTTAATCTTTGTTGGGAGGAATTATGTTTTGTTCAATTAATTGTACACCAATCTTATCACTGTAATCTATCATGTTATGTCCTCAAGAACATCCATGTATAATCTTTTTCTACCAGAGACCCTCACCATATCCACTATTAGGTTGGTTCTAAGATCATTTGTCACGATGTGGTCTGATGAGACAACTGATCCATCAACTTATTGAGCCTAAGCCTCTAATCCAAAAAGTCTAAACCCAAAGTTCTTATATCATTCAACTTTTGATATGGACTACTGATATATTATAATCTCAAGTTTATCGGTTGATGTCCTCGTCAAGGATTTGCTTAACCTAGAATCAAATCCTATTAAGGTGCTCATGAGGTTTAACCAGCCTCCATGTCATAACATGCCTATTGATCCAAAATGTATAAACCCAAAGTCCTAATATCATTCAACTTTTAATATGGACTATTGATGTATTATAATTGTTAGTGAGCCTTTATGCCATGGCCGAGGTGTCAGCACGGCTCGGTCTAATCCCGGATACGCAAGGTTGCCCACGCGGATGCTCAAGTGGTGGAAGCGAACGTCGAGTCGAGTCGAGTTGAGTTTGAGCCTCGTCTCCCGAGTGCGATCTTCTCCCTTGGGGAGTGACTTGCTTCTTCGTTGCCAGGCTCCTGTACATAGGCCGAGGTCGGGAGGGAGATTTCCCGACTCGACCCCTCCGAAGGTTAAGTTGGCGCTAGAGGAAGGACCCGATGTCACACGAGCGCCCCCATCCGAGCAACCCGGGAGAGCGTCCCAGAGAAGAGCCACCCCCGACTCACCCGACCTTCGGGTTTGGAGGGCAACTCCCACTTCCTCCGAGCCTAGAAGGGAATACCTCGACCGCGACCCCGAGCCGCTATTGGCAACTGTTCAATGATCCCGAGACCATCATGGGGCAGCCTGCTGTCTCAGCCGAGGCATTCCTCAACCTCATCCACCAGGGGCAAGCGTTAGTTGGGATAATGCAGACCATCACACCCCTTATACCCCAGCTAGCTCAGCAGACAGTTCTCCCCTCACGATCGTCGCTCGTGATCCAACCTACGCTCATCCCTACACCTCATAATGCCACCCCAGTCGACCAGCCAGCTCTGGCTCCAGATGCCCACCCCCCAACTAGGGAGCAATTGGGACACCCAAGGCCAACGACAGAGCACAACATCTCTGTGCCCAGACACGCTGCCTCGACCTTCTTTGAAGCCAACACCTTATCATCCGACTTGATGGACGACTCATTCCAGGCCCAGTTGCAGTTGGTGAATCAGCACCTGGACGAGGTTTAAAGGGAATTCCATAAATCCAAGAAGGAGCTCGCAGAAAGTACCTCGGTTGGGTCCCCCTTCGCCCAAGAAATTCAGGACAAGTCTATCCCCCTCAACTTTCGCCTCCCGACTGTCACGGACTTAGCTGGTTTTGCCTAAGTCGTGCGGCACCCTTGCGTGTCCGTCCGCAAAGGTCAGCCTCCCCGAAGCCTCCCATTATCCCTTAGGACCAACAAAAGAGAGAACGGGTTAGAGAGAACGCCTCAATCGGGATCTACAAGCAAACATCTCCGAAAAACACTTCATAGACAATGCAAATTACAAACAGACTTTACAAGCTCTGAACAGTTGCACAACAAAGGGTAAAATGATCCATTATAGACCGAAAATCTCTCGCACGTGTCCACATGACAGAACCTTTATTTACAAGCCTAAAGAGGCCACCAACCCAACTAAAATGGGACTATTAAGCCTTCGGCCATCCCCCTACATGCTGTACAAGACATGAACATATCAAAAGACACGGACATACATAAGCATTACATCAAACATCATGTTTAGAAGTTTGTCCGTGACACGACGTTGGAGGCCTATGATGGTGGCTCCGATCCAACAGAACATGTCTGCACCTTCCGGGCCCAGATGACCCTATACGACAGTACCAGAGTTGTGCACCTCGACCAAACAGTGCGCGAATGACGCACCTCGGCCAAACAGTGTCCGAGTTGTGCACCTTAGCTAAACAGGACCCGAGTTGTGCATCTCTGCCAAACAATGTCTGTGTCACGTCTCGGCTAGTCCAATGCCCGAGCTACGCCTCGCGGTCAGTCTAATGTTTGAGTCGCATCTCGACCAATCCAATGTCCGAGCCATGCCTCGTAGCTAATCTAATGTCCGAGTCATGTCTCGGCCAGTCCAATGCTCGAGCCACGCGTCGCGGCCAGTCTAATGCCTGAACCACACCTCGTGGCCAATCCGATGGCCGAGCCACACCTCGCGGCCGATCTAATGTCCGAGTCACGTCTCGACCAATCTAATGCCCGAGCCATGCCTCGCGGCTAGTCCAATGTCCAAGCCACGGCTCGTGGCTAGTCTAATGTCCGAGTCATGTTGTGGCCAATCCAATGCCCAAACCACACCTCACGGTCAGTCCAATGCTCGAACCACGCATCGCGACCACTCTGATGCCCGAGCTATGGCTTGCGGCCAGTTTGATGTTCGAGTAATGTTGCTCGGCCAAACCTGTGCCTGAGCAACATTGTTCGGCCAGTCCTAAGCCCGAGTAGTGTTGCTCCACTAGCCCAATGCTTGAGTCACGTCACTCGACCAATCATGTGCCCAAGTAGTGTTGCTGGACCAGTCCAGTACCCAGTGCCCGAGCAGTGTGCTCGACTAAGTCAGTGCCCGAGTAGTATTGCTCGGCTAGTCATGTGCCGGAGCGGTGTTGCTCAGCCAATCCTACAACCGAGTAGTGTTGCTCGGCCAGCCCAATCCCCGAGTTATGTCACTCAACTAGTCCAGCTTCCGAATAGAAGTTCATGGTCAACCAATGACCGAATCACAAATCCTAGCATGACAGTCGACCCAGCTAGCAAAAGGCACCAAGCCATGCCCCAAGCCCATTCATGAGGAACCCAAGGCATGCCTCTTTGGAGGGGGGGGGGGGGGGGGTGGGGTTGCGCGTAGAGAATGATAGGGCATATTCTGGTACCACCCACATGGCAACAGTTAGTCGCCACATCAGCACCAACGCGGAGCCTCAAGGCTAATATGGTGCATTGCGTCGACGTGACACCTCGGACTCGGATGGGGCGACCACCTGTTCCTGCGTTGTCCAAGGTCGTACGAGACGATGCCGCATAGCACAAAGCTACTTCGGAAAGCTCGGAACGATGCCCCGCGACGCAGATCCGTGCAGGTCGATCGGCGCTCGCACAGGAGGTACAAGCCAGCTGCCCGAGGAGTCGACCGCCATTAACAGATCAAGTACGATCGACCCTCGTTCGCAGGTATAAAAGTCGGACCCCTGATCGGCGTCAGGGGGAGAACTTCGAGCATTCAACTCTCTCTTACTTCACTCAATACTAACTTAACCTTCGAAGGGATCGAGGTGGGAAATCCTCCCGACCTCGGCCTATGCGCAGGAGCCTGGCGACGAAGAAGTAGGCCACTCGCCAAGGGAGAAGACCGCACTCGAGAGACGAGGCTCAAACTCAATCCGACCCGACGCTTGCTTCCACCACCTGAGCATCCGCGTGGGCAACCTTGCACATCCGGGATTGGACCGAGCCATGCTGACACCTCGACCATGGCGTAAAGGTTCACTAACAAGAATCTTTCTTAAATTTAGGGCTTGATGTCATTGTCAAGGATTAGCCTAGCCCGGAATTAAATCGTATCATGGTGCTCACGAGGTTTAAGCAGCCTCCCAAGTCATCACGTATCCACTGATTTAAAATGTCTAAACCCAAAGTTCTAGTATCATTCAACTTTTGATATGCACTACCAATGTTTTACAATCTCTCTCACTTTGGGTCTTCACGTCCTCGCGAAGGATCAGACTAACCCAAAATAAAATCCTATCGTGGTGCTCATGAGGCTTAACCAGGCGTCATGACATGGCCTCTAACCACATCCAAGGGATCTTGTTTACTAGGTCACTTTTGATTTGTCACGACCTGGGACAATAGGGGTATTACAAGAGTAGTCGAGGGTCTAATTATATATCCAGTTGGTCCAATACGGATTTTATAACTATGGTCTGAATTACGACCTTATGAGGTGATCCAGCCATTCTCGGCTTTAAGATTAATGAAGCTTAAATTATCTCACTAGCACTCAAATTTCATCAATTGTGTTAGTGGCATATACCATCTATAAAAAAGCAAAACTAAAAACAACACCAATGCAGTGCAATTGCAAGATTTATGCAGAATATATAATTCACCACCCAACTATGGCGATTACGATAAGGATCTTATGATCCTTGCGTTCACAAAAACAATTAAAAGAGATCCACAAACAGAAGCAACCAAGAGATAGCTGGTGAAAGAAGATCGAGAGAGCAATAAAAAGATCAGGGATCAAGATAAGGTACCGAGACTATGGAGACGGAATCGGAGCCACCCATGTCGAGAGGTCAGCGATCAGAGGGGATCCGCAGGCACAGGGAGCGGAGGGGGCCTACTCGCCGGATCCGTACTTCTTGCGGAAGTGATCCCTCACGAACTCGTCGCGGGCGAGGGTGCGGGCCCGCTGGGGACCGACGTTGACGTAGGAGAGGTGAGCTCCGGTGGCGAAGATGGCGACGCCGGCGGCGAAGATGCACACGGCGGCGACTATCTGCTTCGGCGTCAAAGGTGAGTGGCAACCCATCCAACCATCCCCAAACCCCAAGGAACAAAACTTACACGGGCGGTATATAAAGGGTCGATTAGGATCCGACTCGAAGCTTTGCACTGGACCCGACCCAATTAGAACTTGAAATGGGCCTGATCAATAAGATGCCCATTGATCTGGACCGTTCACTCCGGGTGCGGATCAAATTCGGTCAATTCGAGCTCGGACCGGGTTCAGGACGGGTTCAAATCTGAGATGATTACAACAAAGCTATTAGCTCATGATAAATCATGAATAATACTTAATTCAAGCATACCTTAAGTAGATCAAGCAGACACAGATACTAAAAATATATAATATGTTGTAATCCCTAATCGAAAGATGTTCTATTAAAAGTCATTTTGC